AGGTAAGTAAACAAATAGAAATTTGCCCCTCGGGCACAGTATCAACAAATCCGCCCCTCGGGCGACATCTCAAAACGGTACCAGCCCCTCGGGCTCAAATCTCAGAACAATACCAGCCCCTCGGGCTCAATCTCACATCACAATGGGTACCCGCGCTCACTGGGGGTGTACAGACTCCGGGAGGGGCCCCTTACGGCCCAAAAGCAATATCAAACCATCTCGTGGCATCAGATCTAGGCCCTCGGCCTCATATCAATCAAGCCACCTTGTGGCATATTTATGTATCTCAGGCCCTCGGCCTCATATCAGTATCAATGTATCCTCACAACTAGGTCCTCGGCTTTACTCAGTCCAAAAATCATCACAAGCCCCTCGGGCAATAAAAAAATAGTATTTCTCAGCTCAAAACATCATTTAAAAAAATCATTTAAGTCAAAACTGAGTAAAAATGGTTGAGTAGTAAATTAGTGGAAAATAAGATGACTGAGTTCAAGTAATAAGTCAAAACAGTGAGGAAATAGCAACAAAAATCCCTGAAGGGTTCAAATAGTTGGCACAAAGCCCAAATATGGCAATCAGCCCAAATCTTGATGACAACAAATAAGTTTCAGTCAAATACGCGGTAAAATCATCAATCGGGATGGACCAAGTCATAATCCCCAATAGCGCACGACCCCATGCTCATCATCAAGCGTGTGTCTCACCTCAATATAGCACTACGATGCGCAAATTCGGGGTTTCAAACCCTCAGAGCATCATTTACAATCATTACTCACCTCGAACCGGCCAAATCTCTAACTCGCGACGCCTTTGCCCCTTGAATCGGTCTCCACGCACGTCGAATCTATCCAAAATCAGAACGAATATGTCACAATATGCTAAGGGAACAAAACCCAAGCGAAACCAATCAACAAAGGGCACGATTCCCAAAATTACCAAACCCGAGCCCTGGGCCCACGTCTAAGAATCGGGTAAAATTTACGTTTTCAGAATCCTCATACCCTCACGAGTCTAACCATACCAAAATTATCCAATTCTGGTACCATTTGGTCCTTCAAATCATCATTTTATATTTTTGAAAGATTCCACAATTTTTCTTCCCAAATTCCATCCCAAATCACGAATTAAATGATGAATTCAATGATAGATTCATGTATTCTAGATCTGAGTTAGAATCACTTACCCCTATGTTCTTGAAAAACCTTCAAAAAATTGCCAAAATCCGAGCTCTCTAGGTCAAACTATTAAATAAAACCCAAAACCTCATATTTATAGAGTACCCCACAGATTTTCACCTCTGCGGACCGCACAAAAACGACCGTGGTCCGCACAAAACCAGTGCGGTCCACACAAAAAGGACTGCGGCCGCACATGTTTTCATCTGCAGTGACATGCTTTAGTTCTTTGGTCATACCTTTCGCTACATATGTCCAAATTGCGATATCTTTATCTTTCTAGAAACTAGACACGAAGAGCTACAACTTTCGTTTTTGAATCATCTCAAAATTCCTTGTATATCAAAAGATATAAGCTTCCGAAGTACGACCAGTGAAATGTTCCCCACCATGGCCGCACTGCATTTTGTGCGGTCCGCACAACACCTACCAAGGCCGCACTTCATTTTGTGCAGACCGCGCTGGTGGGTTCCGAGGCCTGCAACCCTTCTAGACCTGCTACAACTATGATTTCAGCCTAAAACATCTAGGAACCTACCCGGAACCCCCGAAACTTCAAACCAATTGTACCAACACATCCCATGATATCGTTCAAACTTGTTCAGAACTTCGAAACACACCAAACAACATCAAAATGTCAAATTTGCATCGGATTCAAGCCTAAGAATCCCGAAATCTTCTAGATTGCGCTTTAGATAAAAAACCCAACCAAACCACGTCCGAATGACCTGAAATTTTACACACACATCCCAAATGACACAACGAAGTTATTGCAACTCTCGGAATTCTATTGCGACGTCTATATCAAAATCTCACCTATCCACCGGAAAACGCCGAAATCTCAATTTCGCCATTTCAAGCCTAAACCTTCCACGGACTTCCAAAATGTATTCCGATCTCGCTCCTAAGTCCCAAATCACCTAACGGAGGTAACCAAATCATAAAGATTCCAATCCGAGATCATATACAAATAAGTCAAATATTGGTCAACCCTTTCAAATCTCAAGCTTCAAACTGGGAACTGTTCTTCCAAGTTTATTCCGGTTATCCTGAAAACCAAAACCAACGATTTACATAAGTCATATTACATTACATGGGGCAAGTCATGCCCGATAACTGGCAAACGAAATGCAAAAGCTCAAAATGACCGATCGGGTCGTTACAAAGGAACAACCCATGAGTTATCAAAATAGTGATCTTTAACTTTCACAAGTCCCATGTTTCATCTTTTATAAATTGGGTAAGAATTTTTTCCTTTTGATGTTTGATCAACAAAGCTTCTTGGATATTTGAATTTGCATCAACCTTTTTTCTTTTGCATGCATGAATTTATAGGATTTAACTTACCAAAAAGGTCCATGTATCATATGTTGGACAACAAGTTTATATAAGGTTTCTTCAGCGTTACAATCATGTAACTCAGCACGAACAATATTATCATAAGATTCTGGAGTAAGTAGTTTGTATTCATTAGTAAGTATAATAAGGAAATGAGCATGTGGTAAGCCACACTTTTGGAATTCTATAGTATGCATAAAAGTTGCAACTTTTCCAAAGATATTTCTTTTTAATATATCTGTTTTAGTTCTTCTATCTTTGGTCAAAAAACTCGACTAATTAAATCAGGTCTATTCTGTGCTTCATCAGTTGATAGCAAGTGCTCTTTTATCTCAGGCCAAGATGGGTTACAAGTCATCGTTATGAATAAATCAGGTTTTCCAAATTGTTGTACTAAAGAAATAGCATCCATGTAGCGTCGATGCATGTCTCTTGGTCCTCTTATAAAGGTAACCGGAAGGAATGTTTGCTTTCCTTTATTGGAAGCATCTCTTTCTCCAAGTCTTAAAACATCAATGAGTCCTTATAGCATTTCAATTCTAAAGAGATTTGGGTTGAATGAAAAAAAGTCTAATCTTTGTGTTTCTAGTTTTATGTGTTTATCTACTGAATATTGCTGAAATAATCTTCCAAAATGCAAAGTTACATTTGTTTCGTCTTCTCTCATTTGGAATTTGTAACAGTAATATTTACAAACAGAAATATTATCTCTTTTTTGTTTTCCTTTTTCAAAATTTTGAGCTTCCATGTCAAGGTATCCATCAAGAGAACACATATTTCTAATACTTGGTAATTCTTCATGTTCACAATAGGCTCGATGTTTAGAAGTATCTTTTGGTTGTATAATTATTTTGATGCCATAGTGCCATCCACTTTGACCATAAGGAAATAATAATGGGTACTATAATAGGTCATAACATCCGTAATAGTAGTTCTCTATTTGAGATCTATTGCTATGAGTGTAGATTCAGATATGAGGTGCAGAACTAACTTCAATGATTTCTTTTTCAATCCATATACCTGCAACTTCTGATGTAGTAGGAATATTGTATACACATTGATCCAAGCCTGAGTCAGATTTAAGTTCAATATTGTAGTTTGATAGATTTGGAACATCTATTAGGGATTTTAAGAAAGTAGAATATGGATTAATTCTCAGTATATTCATTAGTTTTTTGACTATTGATTCATGGATTTTGTCTGAGCAAGCCATTATGTTAGCTAATTCGTTATCGTTGTCGTAGAAGTATAGTTGTAGATTTCTTGCTATTCCACTCGGAGGGAGTAAATCATTGAAAAAATGGTACATCTTCCCTTGAACTCTAAATGTATATATACCACGATTTTTTTTTTGCTAGTTCTTTGTCATAATTTGTGAGTTATAACCTGTATATTTAGGTATCATTGGCATAAAACTACCAATTAGGTAATATACAACACTATCATAATAAAATATTATGGCAAACCTTTTTTTCGAACCGTTCTTGAGCTCATACTATTGGCTTCATTAGATGCATGTGACGTTGAGCCTAATGCCAAAAAGTAATAAATTAACAATAATAAAGACGTTATGTATCATAGATATATAACTCAATGTTGGATCCCTTATACTTGCCTACTTCAAGTGAGTAGAAGGGATAAGTTATATTCTTTTGCTTGTCAATGGTAACTGCAAAAGCATCAACGTGAGGCTCGTTGGCTAATAGGGAAACATCACACATTTAGCATCATTTAATTAAACTCACATGCAAAGACCGTGAAGCAACACTTCTACAAAAAGTAAAACAACAAATGATGTATTCTAACCTGTTGCTCAAGAGCCCACCAGAGGAACAGTTTGTTGCTGAAACTCAAATGCAGCTTCAATAGTGCCGTGGAAACCAACATTGTCCGACAAACTACTTCTTTTTGACTCTTGTCTTTTTGTTCGTCGTTGTAGTAATAATGCTTCTTTTTTTTCCGGCAGATATTAATCTATACGCTTCATGTCGCCTAAGTTTCATCTCAGCTTCCGACTTTGCTGAGCAGGCATGTTTGTTCTTTTGGTCAGAAGTCATTAGTCCTATAGAAGCACAATTATAAGAATTAAAACACAAGAAATAAGTGGAAATAGCTTGCTGCAGAGGTACCAGCAAAAGCGAATAGTATCAAGATTAATCACTTGTTAATAAAGAGATCCTGGGTACAAGGTGCAATGACGATTTCAACATTAGCTATGTATTCCTAGGTCTATTAACATGTTCTATCTCTGAGAATGAGCTTAAAATCAGTTAAGTGTACCTCTGTGGGAAGAGGAAATTAACAGCCAATTAATGAAGCTATGAAAATTTTATTTTGGAATATAACAACAGATTATAGATATAAAGTATCAAACAAGATCAACATAAATTTAATATGTTACATGACAAGATAACTCTAGTACCCAAAGATAAAGAGAACCTAGAGAAGGCAAACATTTTCAGATTTTTTTTAAAAGATTCTGACCTATATCATTTTCCAAGTAGTAGTAATGATATAATTTAACTCCAGACAAATGACAACAAAACCTGTTGATATTCCTCAGAACAATAGAGATAGAAATGAATCACAAACACTTCAAAAATAGAGAATCTAATTACCAAAACAAAAGCTAAGTAAATTGATACTGGATGGCATATCAAGAGACAAAATCTTTAAACCTCTATTTCAGGTCAATTTGGTTCTAAGCAAACTAAAACTGAAAAATATCTTCAGAAACTTAGCAAAAATAAAAAATAAAAAAAGGGCATATATAAAGACATAATCTTTACATGGATTAAATCAAGAATTCAAGAAATAATCAAAACCATTAACTCAACATAGATGATTACTGTAAATGGATCTATTAATATTAGAGAACAAAAAAGAATCAGAATACTATGAATTGACATGGGATTAGCTCATATGTAAAAAAGAAGAAAACGTTACCTTTTCGAATTTAGATAGAAGTTTGATGAAATTCAAATGAAGTCACATTCAACAAATATAAGAAGTAGATGGGGCTTCTTCTTTATCTTCTATAACTGTAATTTCTGGGGGAATTAGAAAACAACTTAAGTCTATTTTAGAATTCCTAACAAGGGATTTGCCATAAGAACTTTTTCATACACTATTATACTTCAGAGGATTCTGATAACAAATCTCACTCCTTTTCTTTGTATATTAATTATGGTTAAACTTTCACTTTATAAAAGTTGCAAAGAGAATCAAATTACCCTTCGCTAAGGAGATTCGACGGTGAAGATCCTCTCCCAAATAAAGTCTATTGCAATAACCCTATCCATGATTTTGTTGGTTTAGCCAACAGGTTTGTCACTTTTTTTTGTCTTCTACAAAGTCTTAATTGCAAATTAAATAAATTACTAAAAACAGAGAAAAAATCAGAATCCAACCTTAGTTTGTTTTTATCTTTATGGAAGAAAAGGCTAATCAAGCGAAAACCCCGAATATCTTTTTGCAGAAGATCTGAAGCTTTGAACAGAGGAAAACACAATAAAGCTGAAAGAGGAATTTATGAAGAGGGTAAAGAAGAGCACAAAGGAAAACTTGGTACTAAACAAAAGCAGACCAAAGAATAAAAAATTTGAAAGCGATGCTTTCTACCTGGCATTTTAGGGTGTCAAGAAAAGAGAAAATGACAAAGACACCCTTATGATGAAGCATACATGTTGACCATCAAAGGCCTGCTTATTCTCTCTTATATTATAGTAGTAAATATGAGGAAATATCTAAATTAACATAAGAAAAAGCTAAATCAAACAATAGTAAGATGAAATCCTAAACCTATATACATAATTCATAAATATTGCATAATTCTTTCATATTATTTATTTTTGGCTAAATTTTATTTTGGAATTGCTACGACCCGGCCAGTCGTCTCATGAGTTACCGCTACGTTTCTCCCATTTCAGCTTCTTTATGCTTCGTTATCCATGTTTTTGTGGTATCGGATTGGTCGGATCGAGTCCGGAATGAGTTTGGTGAAGTTTGAGACACTTAGTCTCTTTTAAGAAGGCTTAAGTTGGAAAAGTTAATCGGATGTGGACTTATGTGTTAGAAGGCTCAGAAGTGAGTTCCGATGGTTCGGTTAGCTTCGGGAGGTGATTTGTAACTTAGGAGCGCGATCGGAATGAGTTTTGGAGTTGTAGAGAAGATTTAGGCTTAAATTGGCGAAGTTGATATTTTGGCGATTTCCTGTTGATAGGCGAGATTTTGATATAGGGGTCCGAACGGAATTTCGAGAGTTATAGTATCTTCGTTGTTTCATTTGGGATATGTGTGAAAAATTTCAGGTCATTCGGACGAGATTTGATACACTTTTTTATCGAACCTATAATTTAAGAATTCTTGGAGTTCTTAGGCTTGAATCTTATGTTAAATTGGTGACTTGATGTTGTTGTGAGCGTTCTGAAGTTTTGAACAAGTTTGAACTATGTCATGGGATGTGTTGGTACAATTGGTTTGAAGTTCCGGGGGTTCCGGGATGTTTTAGGCCGAAAATCAAAGCTGTAGCAGGTCCGGAAGGGTTGCAGGCCTAGAAACCCACCAGAACGGTCCGCACAAAATGAAGTGCGTCCGCGGTAGGTGTTGTGCGGACCGCACAAAATGCAGTGCGGCCGCGGTAGGTGCTGTGCGGACCGCACAAAATACAGTGCGGCCGCGGTGGGGAACATTTCACTGGTCCTAATTCGGAAGCTCATATCGTTTGATCTACAAGGAATTTTGAGATGATTCAAAAACGAAAGTTGTAGCCCTTCGTGTCTAGTTTCCTTAAAGGTAATGATATTGCAATTTGGACATTGGACATCTGTAGCGAAAGTTATGGACAAAATACTGAAGCATGTCACTGCAGATGAAAACATGTGCGGCCGCAGTCGTTTTTGTGCGAACCGCACTGGTTTTGTGCGGACCGCGGTCGTTTTTGTGCGGTCCGCAGAGGTGGAAATCTGTGGGGTACTCTATAAATATGAAGTTTTGGGTTTTATTTAATATTTTGACCTAGAGGGCTCGGATTTTGGCATTTTTCAAAGGTTTTTCAAGAAATTCATCGGGGTAAGTGATTCTAACTCAGATTTGGCTAGAGTACATGAATCTATCATTGAATTCATCATTTAATTCGTGATTTGGGATGGAATTTGGGAAGAAAATTTGTGAAATCTTCCAAAAATATAAAATGATGGTTTGAAGGACCAAATGGTACCGGAATTGGATAATTTTGGTATGGTTAGACTCGTGAGGTATGAGGATTCTGAAAATGTAAATTTTACCCGATTTCGAGATGTGGGCCCAGGGCTCAGGTTTTGGTAATTTCGAGAATTGTGTCATATTTTGATTGTTTTCGCTTGGGCTTTGTTCCCTTAGCATATTTTTACGTCCACGTTCTGATTTTGGATAGATTTGACGCGCGTGGAGGCCGATTTGAGGGGCAAAGACATTGCGAGCTAGAGATTTAGCCGGTTCGAGGTGAGTAATGATTCTTAATGATGCTCTGAGGGATTGAAACCCAGGATTTGTACATCGTAGTGCCATATTGAGGTGAGACACACGCTCGATAACGAGCGTTGGGTCGTGCACTATTGGGGATTGTGACTTGGTCCGTCCCGATTGATGATTTTACCGCGTAATTGACTGTAACTTATCTGCTATCATCATGATTTGGGCTGATTGCCATATTTGGGCTTTGTGCTAACTATTTAAACCCTTCGGGAATTTTTATTACTATTTCCTCACTGTTTTTGACTTATTACTTGAACTCAGTCATGTTATTTTCCATTGTTTTACTACTCAGCCATCTTTACTCAGTTTTGAGACTTAAATGATATTTTGGGCTGAGAAATACCGTTTTACTATTGCCCGAGGGGCTTGTGATGATTTTTGGACTGAGTAAGGCTGAGGTCCAAGTTGTAAGGATACATTGATACTGATATGAGGTCGAGAGCCTGAGATACATAAATATGCCACGAGATGGCTTGATTGATATGAGGCCGAGGGCCTAGATTTGATGCCACAAGATGACTTGATATTGCGGTTAGGCCGTAAGGGGCCCTTCCCGGAGTCTGTACACCCCCAATGAGTGCGGGTACCCATTGTGATATGAGATTGAGCCCGAGGGGCTGATATTGTTCTAAGATTGAGCCCAAGGGGCTGGTAGTCTTCTGAGATGTTGCCTGAGGGACAGATTCGTTGATACTGTGCCCGAGGGGTGAACTTCTATTTATTTACTTACCTGTCAATTACTTGTTTTACTTGTTAAAAAGGGAGTTTACTTGACTCTTCACTGTTTTACTATTTTAAGTGATTTTTACTGCTTCAGTATAGAATGCCTTTTGTTTTACGTGTTTTCTTACTTTCAGTCGTTATTTACATTTCTTACTCATTGAGTTGGAGTACTCACTTTACTCCCTGCCCCCTGTGTGCAGATTCAGGCGTAGCTGGTATCGCTCCAAAGTGCAGATTCCTCCAGTTCCAGGCAGTTTTTCGGAGACTGTGAGGTATTTGTTGACGTCCGCAGCCTCGTGTCTCTACTTCTCTATCATTTATGTTTCCTTTCAAACACTTGTAATAGTTTATGACTTTAGCAGACTAGTATTATGGTTTAGAGATGCTCGTGACTTGTGATACCCCGGTTAGGGCTGTGTCGGGTTGGACGTTCCGCATTGTTATCAATATTTCCGCTATTTAGTATTGTTAAATCATGTTTAGACTATTTTTATGTTGATTAACTGCTTTAAACGTTGAGTTGGGTTGAACTGGCTGGCCTTGTCTTCACGAGAGGCGCCATCACGATCGGGTTCGGGGTTAGGGTCGTGACAAGTTGGTATTAGAGCCTAGGTTACATAGTTCTCACAAGTCATGAGCAGGTTTAGTAGAGTCTCGCAGATCGGTATGGAGACGTCTGTATTTATCCTCTAGAGGCTGCAGAACCTTTAGGAAAACCTCAGATTCTTGAAATTCTTGTCACTCTAACTTGTTGATCCGAGTACTAAACTTCTGTTATTCCATTCTCTCACAGATGGTAAGGACACGCGCTACCGGGCGGGGTGGATGACCACCAGTGCCACCAGTTGAGACCACCAGAGGCCGAGGATGCGGTCGTGGTCGTGGCAGAGGCAGATCAGCGAGGGCAACACCTGTTGATCTACCAGCTGCCCCATCTCAGGATCAGACTCCAGCTATGGATGCTCCAGCAGCACCAGTTCAGGCACCAGCTGTGCCCATCGTGATTCCAGGTCTTTAGGAGGCCTTGGCACAGATCTTATTAGTTTGCACTAGCCTGGCTTAGGCGGTTTCAACCACTACAACCGCAACTATTTCACAGGCCTGGGGAGGCACTCAGACTCCTACCGCTCGTACACCTGAGCAGGTAGTGCAAGGACTTCAGATGCTGGGGGCACATCCAGCCTAGCCGGTCACAGCTGCTTAGGACTATGTGGTTCCTATCATGTCGGAGGATGAGCAACTTATATTGGATAGGTTTGGTAGATTACAGTCTCCGACATTCAGTAGCATAGAGGGCGAGGATGCCAGGGCTTTTTGCATAAGTGTCAGAGGATGCTTCGTACTGCCGGTATTCTGGAGACCAGCGTGGTCACTTTTACCACCTATCAGTTTTCAGGAGCTACATTTACTTGGTGGGAGGATTTTGAGAGGTGTAGGCCTGTTGGTGTTGTGCCCCTTACTTGGCATCAGTTCTCCATTCTCTTCTTGGAGAAGTATGTGCCGCAGTCCCGCAGAGAGGAGCTACGTAGACAGTTTGAGTGGTTGCGACAGGGGGATATGATGGTGTCACAGTATGAGTTGAGGTTTTTTGAGTTGGCTCGTCATGACATCTGGATGGTTCCGACAAATCGAGAGAGGATCAGGAGATTTGTTGATGGTCTTACTTACCACCTCTGTATTCTTATGACCAGAGAGAAGGTGACTGGCGCTACTATCGAGGAGGTTGTTGATATCTACCATGAGATTGAGACTGTTCGCCGTCAGGAGCAAAGAGGAGAGGGAGGCCAAAAGGCCTTGAGGATCTGCAGCTATAGCGGTGCTCCTTCGAGGGGCCAGCTCCAGCACAGCAGAGGTCATTCACTCAGGCCTACTTAGTCAGCTCGCCCAAGTTATCGGGGGGCATCTTCAGGTCATGGTTATCATGGATCTCAGTAGGGCCAGTCTTCACTCAGCGCCCTTCTAGATCAGAGTTCATCTCATGCCCCATCAGTTCAGGGTTCTTCTAGGCCGAGTGCATCAGCTAGTCACTCCGGTACGAGGGGTTCCCTTCAGTCCCATTTTCCAGCATCTGGGTGTTGTTATGAGTATGGCGAGATGGGCCACATGTGGAGGCAGTGTCCTCGTCGTGTTGTTAGTTCATCCCAGCAGAGGGGTCAGTCTTTGGCTTTAGTGTTGTCGGAACTGAGACTCCCAATATTGATTCTGTTCTAGTTGTGAGGGATTTTCCCGATGTGTTTCCTGCAGTCCTACCGGGCATGCCACCAAACAGGGATATTGATTTTGGTATTGACCTGGTGCTGGGCACTCAGCCCATTTCTATTCCGCCGTATCGTATGGCA